AGTAATTGCACACAGCACAGCCTTTTCTGGCCTTTGGGCCTAAGGTCTTAGCTGTCTCTCACCTCATTCTTATCCCTCTTGCCCCTACTCCTCCTCTTTAAATTGGTTCTCTTGCTTTGTCATTCTCATTCTCAAGAGATCTCTTTGTTTGTCTGATTAAGATAGAGAGAGAGAGAGAGAGAGAGAGAGAGAGAGCACTAGAAAATGACTGGGTTTGCAGAAGGTGAAAGCGTTACTCTTGATCTTCTCAAGAAGAAAATGGCGGAGTTTGCCAAAGAAAGAGACTGGGATCAGTTCCACAGCCCCAGAAACCTTCTCTTAGCTCTGGTTTGTTCATCTTTCAAAACCCATAAACATGTCTTCTTGTCTTCTCTCATGTCATTTTGTGTTTGGCCTTTACTGTTTGATAGGTGTTTTTCTTTATTAATAATTTGTGTGATCCATGAAATAGGGAAGACCCAAATAAAATTTTTAGATTCTGTGCTATTCCCATATTTTCTTTCACTCTCATCATGGGCTTGTGAAGATTTGACCGAAGTTAACGCAGCTGACTCACTCTAGCTGGATTGTTAAACAAATGGGTTTGCATGCGCTGCAAGTGGGCTTCTTATTTTTGTTTGTTTTCAAATCTTTTTAACCTTCTTCTTATTAAAACCCAAGTTAAGATTTTAAAGTTTTTAACTTTTGGCCTGAGTATTAGTGAATCATGTTTAACCAGAGTCAAACTTGACTTGCTTTGCAGACAGATGTTCCTTTTTGTTTTTGTCATGGTATTGAGGCAAATGTCTTAGCAGCCCACATTTCTGTGTTTTCTTGCCCCCTTGTGCTTTTTTTGTGCTTTTTTGTGCTTTTTTTATGCTTTTTAAATTGTTGTCATTCACAGAAAGTTAAAACAATCAGAAGGCTAATTTTTTTTGTTCATGTTGAGTTGATGTAATAAAGGTTTGGCCTTTCTGATGAAATCTCAGGTGGGTGAAGTTGGAGAGCTATCTGAGATATTCCAATGGAAAGGGGAGGTTCCAAAGGGACTCCCTGACTGGAAAGAGGAGGAGAAAGAACACCTGGGGGAAGAGCTTTCTGATGTTCTGCTTTATTTGGTCAGGCTTTCTGACATCTGTGGTGTTGATCTTGGCAAAGCTGCTCTTCGCAAGGTTGGGCTCAATGCCATCAAGTACCCTGTTAAACAGAGCCAAATGAATATCACAAGCAACAACAATACCATCAACAGTGATGAAAATGCACAGAGGGTTTAACTTTCTTTGCTTGGAAACACCCACCACCAGAGGTTTTTCTTTGCTAAGCTGTTAATACTATATTTGGGTGTTTATGGGATCTGTGGCTTGGGGCCTTAGGATAGGAGCTTTTTAGGGATGGTTTTCATTTCATGAGTCAGAGACTAGTAATGGTTTGGGCAAGTGATTCTCAGAGATTTCTTACTGTTTTGGCTACTGAATCAAATCCCTCTGACAGTTGTGAGATATGGTGTGATTCTATTATAATATTTTCCTTTTTTCTTCATAGATATTTGTGATCTACCCTTTTATCCATTGTGTACTGGTTTTACTTTCCAAGGGTCACCATGGTCTGCTATGAATTTGAAAATACTTTATTTGAATTTTATTAGTTGATTGAAACAATTTATGCAGAATCTGCATGAACCGAACTGAATATTTGAACTGGTCAATCAATAGACAGTGTCTACCAACTGCGACTCACTTTCGTCTAGCGGTGTTTGTCTCTACTTAGCTCACTGTAGTCTAGTGGCGGTGTTTGTCTCTATCATTGTAGTTTTATTGTAGTTGTGTTGTAAAAGTATGTCGCTAAAATTCTATTGTTTGTCAAGAAAAAAATCATCTCACTTGGTATCTTATCAACAACTTGTTGATAAGATTATGAGTTGTCATGGTAGTGATTAAATTCCACAACACTGATAGATTCGGTTGAGTTGCTTCTTGTTTGAACCGTTGATTCAAATTTATAATTTGATACATAAACCTCAAAAACATATGTACTTAAATCTGTTGTAAGTGTAATTAATTTCCTTGATAATTCGTTTCGAATGATGTTGACATGAGACTGATTAGCATGGTGACTTGTTGGGTGAGTAGTCAATCATGGCACACTGTGGCGCTGTTCAGCTGGGTCCTAGCCTTGCTTGGCAAACCAGTAACATGTGAATTCTTGTATCTTCCTGCTTTCTTGTATTTAAAACAAAAACAAAAACAATGTCGTGAAGTGCTCAACAACGTAAGTTACGTATCAACTTTTCAGGAAGAAATAAAATTTTGGATAGAAAGTGTCGGATTAAAGTCATAAACAGTGGGACTAATGCAAGTAAACTTATCATCCCCATCACAGAAGGGTCTGCATCAAGTCTTGATATAATTAGTCATAAATACTATAATTCTTTTTTAGTTCAATATAATTAGTCATCTCTATTTTAAAAAAGAAGAAGAAGGTTAACGTTAATTATTCAGGTCTTCCTATTTTAAGAGGTGGATATGGAGCATAATTGGAATTGTATTTTGTCAATTCCTCCCTAAAATTTGTTTAATGAGATGATTTAGGGAACCCATTGTGACATCCAAGTGAGTGAAATCCAATCATCAATACCCGACTTCTTGCTATTAATACAATATGAGTTCAACATACATCAACGATTAGAGGTCAATCATGGTTGGTAAGTGAATCATCCAAGCACAATGTAAGTCAATCATGGTCGGTAAGTGAATCATCCAAGCACATCTCATGTGAAAAAAGAAAAAAGAGAGAGAAGGAAAACATTAGAGCCCCATATATAGACATGTGCTAAAGCTGTCTGCAAAAGGGCAAATAATATGCATGTTTGTGGGACCAAAGATTATAGCATACAAAAAAAGCTTGATTATGTGAAAGAGGCAGCTCAACAAAAGTGAATGTAACTCAACATAAGATTTCAATGCATGATAAGTTAGGTGTGCATAATTGTACGCATTAAACATTGGCACCTATCCTTTCCCCTTTGCTCAAGAGTGTGTGTGACCACAATCACCCATTTGTCTATAGTGGGGGTATTTCGAGATGTTCGTACCGAGTACATCAAAAAGAAAAAGAAAAAGAAAGAAAGGATCTCTGAGCTTGTATTGAGATGAATTTTTTATTTTTTATTTGGGTATATATCTCGCAGTAATTAATCATGTGATCAGTGCATGATGAGAGTCGAATATAAGAGCGTAGTATTCAACAGTTGTATGAGATAAATTTGATTGTAACAAGTGTATACACCTCGAAATAGTTGAAAAACTTGTATACCACTAGAATAGATAACACTGTTTTGCTATCACCAACCAAAAAAACTAATCATGTTCTGCCATTTATGATAAGAATTTTACATGACGTAGCGTGATTGGATGTAAAGAGCAGAATAATGCTATTTATTATGTCCCCGTGACATGTACAGGAGTAAGTAAGTATATCATCGATTCGTGTACAGGAATTTTGGTTGAGATGGTCAAATTCAGTTACCCCTATCTGATTGTCGACAACTCACTGCCAGCCCTTCAAAGACGTCATGCGAGTGACGTCAATATATAACTTGCTATAAGTTTTTAGGCAATATGTGTAACACGAGCCAAGTTTGAATTGTAGGAATTTGGATGTTTTTGACAATTCTAAACCTGAAGATTATTGGTTGCAATTTAACTGGTTAATTAAAATTTAACTGTGGTTAGTACTTGTATATAAATCAAAACAGCCTTCTAGTATTCTCAATGGGGTCATGGGCTTCATGTTCTTCTTTTCATCTTTTAGGTCCTGCCAATATTGTCAAATGGGCTGTTTTACTCCCATAGTTATCCCTCTCAGCTCAAAATTATTTGGATTGGGCTTTTGAAGACTTAATGAGCCGTGGATAACTTGTTGTAGGAAACGACATTGGGCTTGTTTAATTAGACCTGACAAAATCATATACGACATGATCATATGATCAGGTCATAACGTGCAAACAAAATTATGTTAGTGTAGTGTTTTTGTTTTCCTTTTTATGAAACGCGATAGTAACTTGTTATATTATTGTATTTGATATCGTTTGGTAAACATTTTATATCTTGGAATTTTGTTGAACAAAAAATAGAACAAACGGGTAAATACGTGACACGAAAGATTTATGAATGGATTCAAGTTTATATATGTTGACACGATAAGTTAACGGGTGGAATTTGAATTTATGATAATTTTATATTGCAAGAAACTAACAGGACAAATTACCAAATCTATATGCAAGCCCCACTCTCCTATCTCATCTCGAAATTAAGGTGTTGGTAGACCATGATTAGGCGCATGCAGCAGAAAACTAATGAAAGCTACCGCCTGTTGTAATCCAATCATATCCCTATATTTTAAATGGTTTTTCTTTCTTAACCAAATCATGGCGTAATGTTCTGTAAAAAGATGTTTAATCACTCGAAAGTTCTATGGACATTTCAAACTTTCGATCCCACCCGGACACAGTAACAAGTCTCAACAACAAGTTCTTTTAAACTGATTGTCTTTTGAACATAAAGAAAGTGTTCTTCTAACATGGTGGCTATGGCACCGTAGGAGTGCTCGCGATGACGTTTTGAAGAGTTAGGGTTAGGGATTTTGTGTTTGGTTGAATAGATTTGGGGATTTTGCAATACGGTCTGTCGACGATAACTAGTTAGCCTCAGTTGCAGGCTTGAAATCATCATTTCCTATCCTTCAATATTATATATATATTCGAATATTTTAAAAGTATAGCCGCGCGGCTATACTACTCGACTGTTTCTAAGAGATACATTGACCTCAACCTTGGGGTCTTTTAGGATAATATCTTTTGCGTTTTCAGCCTTTCAGTAATCAAAGACAATCCAATTTTATCCTCACATGAAAATGTTTCATAAAGATAAGATCTCTCAAATCCAATTGGATGCATGAATCTCTTACTATCTTTCCACCTTTCTCTGATCAGTGTAAAATATCTGCTATCCTTGATGCATATATCTCCTGATTATCCTCTAATAATTCTTTCTTTCTTCTATGTTTTAAATACAGTGCCGCATAAACAATAACCTGCACAATGCCAAGAATGAAACCATGGCCAGAGATTCTGTTGCTTTCAAAGGATCCAAAACAAAACAAGTAAAGATATAAACTGAAGGTGCACACCTCAGTTGTTCCGGGACTAGTATTGAGTATTGACAGCACAATGGATGCAAACTTTTCCATCTTGAAATCCTACTTCCCAAGTCATACTATCATCTTCCACATTCAACTCTGATTCAGGTTGGTGTTGCTCAACTCTGCCAACCTGCGAACTCCAAAGGGCTGAAATCCTAAGATACTAAAAGCATGGAGTAGAATATTTTGTACATTCTCTGCCGGTAGGAACCTCCTCTGCCTGACGCTTCCGCAGCGGATCCTCTTGCCTGGCGCCATATACAACCTTGTTGTAACTCTAACTGTTACACAGACAATCAAAGAGGGCACCAAAACAGCTTACTCTACATGAGAACTAATGTTTGGGAAAGGGATTAGCAACGACTGGCAGACAGTTGTTTATCTGCATGATTGGCAAAATCATTTCTCTGGGTCCAGCATGTTGACTTGATGCCAATAATAAGATGCGTGGAAGCTAAGACAAACAACTGACATTCCATCAATCTCTCCCTCATGTCCACCAGCACTGTTAAATCAGCCAAAAATATGAAGAAAAACATGGAGTTCGTGTGAAAGCAATTCACTTCAGCCATTCGTTGTCACATAATCAGAACAAGGAAAGTATAAAAGAAAATTGGAATTTTAAGGAAACTAGTTAGCAATGCATAGTTTTGTCTTTATAAAAACATACATAACATAAAGAATTTCAAAAGCACACACACCCACCCACACATTTGAAAAGGAAGAAGACGTGAAATTCAAGAATCACAGCCAAAAGCAACGACCCAGATAAAAGCCTTAGAAATTCAACAACTGAAAACCGAACCTGTTCGCGGGTGGTAGAAGCGAGGGAACCTGAGCCGTAGATCCTGGATCGAACGGCTGAGAGAAGCTGCTTTCTGATCCAAGTCTACGTCTGCTGACCTGCTAGCAATCCAGCCATTTTTACTCTCTCTCTCTCTCTCTCTCTCTCTCTCTGAATTGCAGTGTTGTGGTTTCAGAATTCGAACCGGAAACGAAGCGGGTTGGGAGCAATTCGCCAAATGGGTTTACCAAGATGAGACAAAATCAACTCTCTCCTCAGTTTTCAAGTGGACCCCACTTTCTTTTGCATTAACCAAATTTTCTCCTCTCATTTAGCCAACTGACAAATGCGAAAAGCATTAAATCAAGCCGCAAATCATAAAACAATGAGATTTAATCCGGCTAATTTGTTTTTAATTTTGTTCACGAGGTAAAACGAAACAGAGCAAAAACAAAAAACAAAACTATTCCCGGTATTTTCTCGACAACCAAACACAACGCAAAACTCCGAAATCTTTGGTACCTTGGACGAAGGAATCGGCCTCTCTGTATAAAGAAATTAGGAAGACGAAGAAAAATTCTCTCCTTCAATAGTGAGGAATATACAAAGATTACAGCATTAGGAAACAAATCTCTAGTTATAATAGGACTAACCAAAAAAAGGAAAGTAAAAATACAGCAGAGAAAATTTTCAGTTTCCTAGAGGAACCAGAGAAAAAAAAACACCTTGCACAACTAGGAACATCTTGAAAAAACCTATAAATATGAGGCCAATTTTAGAGAGACTTCACCATCACAACAAGGCGCAATGGCAAACAACCTCACTTCGGCTTTCACTTTTGCTCTCATCCTCTGTGTTTCAGCTCTTTCACTAATTCCACACACCACCTCACTATCAACCTCATTCCAATTCCCTCCAACCCAATCCACAATCCTCCCTGACCCTTCAAGCTTCTTCTCTGCAAACCTCCTCTCCACCCCTCTTCCCACCAATTCTTTTTTTCAGAACTTCGCTCTCAACAATGGTGACAAACCTGAGTACTTCCACCCCTACAGCATCAACTCATCCTCCTCCTCTCTATCTATCTCCTACCCATCTCTCTCCTCCACCTCTGCTTTCATCTCCCAAACCTTTGTCCCTGACCTCACCATCTCTGCCTCCCAAACCAGCGCCAACTTAGCTACAACAAATAACAGCGGCCGTGTAATCTCTGCCTTCACTGATCTCAGTGTCACCTTGGACTTTCCCTCCTCCAACCTTCGTTTCTTCCTGGCTCGAGGAAGCCCTTATGTCACCTGCAATGTGTCTAGCCCCACTGCGGTTTCTGTCTCAACCATTCATGCAATCCTCGAATCCTATTCGAGCAACTCAAAGACCAAGTTCACTGTCCAGCTTGACAACAATCAAACATGGGTTATGTACACCTCCTCCCCAGCTATTTTGACTAGAAGCAGCCCATCAACCTTAACTTTTGATGGCTATTCTGGCAATATTCGGATTGCATTGGTGCCGGGTTCTGATCCAAAATACGTGGCAATCCTTGACCGGTTTAGTTCTGCTTACCCCGTTTCTGGTGAAGCTGTGTTCACAAAGCCATTCACTCTGGAATATAAATGGGAGAAGTATGGACGGGGAGATTTGCTTATGCTAGCTCATCCTCTCCATCTTCAGCTTCTGTCTAATGCTACTGTTTTGGAAGATTTCAAGTACAAGAGCATTGATGGCGATCTGGTTGGCATCGTTGGCGATTTGTGGGAGTTGAAATCTCATAATATATCAGTCACTTGGCATTCAATCGGAGGTGTCAAACAAGCCTCATACCCTGAAATTGTTTCTGCGCTTCGTCGTGATGTTAAGGCTCTTAGTTCGACACCAATAACAACTGAATCGTCATACTTTTATGGGAAATTGGTTGCCAGAGCAGCAAGGTTGGCTTTGATTGCTGAGGAGGTGGATTGTCTTGATGTGGTTCCAGCAATTAGGAAATACTTGGCGGACGCCATTGAGCCATGGTTGGATGGTACTTTAAGTGGGAATGGTTTTTTGTATGATCCTAAATGGGGTGGACTTGTCACCCAACAAGGATCAACCGATCGCGGTGCAGATTTTGGGTTTGGAATTTATAATGACCACCATTATCATCTTGGATATTTTGTTTATGGTATTTCAGTGCTTGCAAAGATTGACCGTGCATGGGGGAGCAAGTACAAGCCTCAAGCTTACTCTCTTGCAGCAGATTTCATCAACATAGGCAACCAATCGAATTCAAACTATCCACGGTTGAGATGCTTTGATCTGTACAAACTGCACTCATGGGCTGGAGGACTGACTGAATTTGGAGATGGAAGGAACCAAGAGAGCACAAGTGAGGCAGTGAATGCTTACTACTCAGCTGCATTGATGGGCTTAGCCTATGGAGACATCAATCTTTTCAATAGTGGATCAATGCTTACATCTCTGGAAATTCAAGCAGCTCAAATGTGGTGGCATGTAAGAGAAGGGGATACACTTTATGAGGAAAAGTTCACAAGGGAAAATAGGATTGTGGGAATTTTATGGGCAAACAAGAGAGACAGTGGACTTTGGTTTGCTCCTCCAGAGGCAAAAGAAATGAGGCTTGGAATTCAGTTGCTGCCCGTATCCCCAATCACTGAGATCTTGTTCTCCGATGATGGCTTTGCTAAGGAAATTGTAGAATGGGCATTGCCAGCCCTAAGTAGAGAAGGAGTTGAGGAAGGATGGGAGGGCTTTGTCTATGCCTTGCAAGGGATTTATGATAAGGATGGTGCTTCGGAG